AGGTATGTCTTTATCAGCAGCATAAAAATGGAATAACACAATATGCAAGAAGTCCTTCTCCAACACATACGCAGAACTGACAAAAGAAAACCAAGTCCAAAGTCAACAGGGGCCTCAGTCACCTCCCAAGAATCTGCACTGCCCAGACGGTGTCCTGAGACCACAGAACAGAGTGTCAAAAACAGAGGCCACCGGAGAGCTCAGATGCCCGGAAACTCAGGAAGGCATGGTGTATTACACACACACAGGTCCACACACAGACGCGCTCTCACTGAACATGGGTGTGCTCACTGCAGTGCATGCAGGCCTTCTGTTTGTGCACACTTACTGAGCACACACACACTCGTACTTACACATTCTCAATGAATACATGTGTGCCCACTGAAGAACATTCGGACTTTCCGTATATGCAGGCTTACTGAGTGCACGCGCGCGCGCGCACACACACACACACACACTCATACTGACAGGCATGCTGTCACTGAATATACATGTGCTCACGGCAAGCTTTCTGAGGACACGCACGGTGCCTCCATTTACCAAGCTGCACAGCCAGGAAGAGCTGGGAGGAGAATGAGGTGACGTGAGAACTTGGGGTACTGCAAGGCTGCCTAGGGCAGGAGCTTCCCGGGAGGAAAGCTGAGGACAAAGGGCCTTGTTCAGGCCCATGACAAGTGTCCTGTAAACCAAGGAGGTGACCCACCCAACCCCATCCCTGAGTTGCAGAGGACGGAAAAAAGCTGCCTCTCTGAAAGGACTCACAGAATTCGGGCAGTCTGAAGCCACCTCTGACTAGAGCCACTGGCGCTCTGGGCAGAGGTCAGCCTGACACCACTACACAGAAACGTCACGTCCCATCTCACTATCTGCAGGGCTCGCCAGCCTGTGGCTGTGGGCCAAGTTTAGTCCCTGCCTGTTTTCATGATAGAGTGTTACTGGCACACAGTCACACCCATCATCTACGCCTGGAGACAAGGCCTCGTGTGGCCACTGAAGCCAAAGATACTACACCCTGGCCCTTCACAGAAGGTGCATGCCCCACACAGAAACTCCCCTAAGCCACGCACTGCTGCATGCCTGTGGGGCTGCTCCCGTTTCCTGGGTCTCCAGGGGCTGAAAATGGAGGGCACGAGACAGAGTCACGCAGGGTGGGTGACGGGGCCAGACCTCCAGCCCTGAGGCGTGCACCCAGGCAATGCTGAGCAGCCCCTGCTCAGCCCCAGTGCCTGATGCCACATCCCAGGTTCTGCTCCCAAAACCTTCCCAGTGCCCCTCCGTATTCCGGCAATGCACAACACAGATACAGGCTGCCAGTACACATGTGCACATGTATGCACACCCGTATGCACAGGCGCACACACATGCACGCACACAGTGAGGGAGGCAAGACTGATAAGTGAACGATATGACATTTAGTTACAATCACAGCCAAAAGATCAATATGAGAATTCCTAAGAGTTACAAGAATGAAATACATTTTTCATCGATTTGTTGTTTTAAACCATTAAAAAGATGGGTAAGCGTGCTAGAGCAGGGTAAATACTCAGGGCACTGAAAACACTCCCACTCACACATCGCGTGGAAAATCAATCTCACTGACATACTTTCAAAGTAAAATCCCAAAAAGCAGACAGCTTTCCTCAGGCACCGAGAGCACGCCTCTGCAGGAAGAACCGGCACACGTCACGGCCAAGCCCGGCGCCCGCCCCACCCGCACGGCAGCTAACTTGAGTCCGGTATCTCGGCTCAAATTCACTCCCACGGCTGTTTTTAGAAAGAATTATAAAAATATCCAAATCCCCTTTTTTGTTTAAATTGACCAAGTGGCACCTATTTGCCTGAAGCACTAAAGCAGACAGTGGAGGGAAATCGATGGCAGGAAATGGAGAGGCGGGGCCCCCACCCAGGCGGGCTGCCCGGCGCTGACATTATTGATTTTACCTAGTTCAGCTGGCCTTGTAATTAAAATGTAAATTTGAGAAAGAGATTATGTCCTGACAGAAATGGCAGGATTAAGGGGAAGATAAAAGCCCCTCAGTGAAAATTCAGAGAAAGAAATGAGAAAGAAAAAGCATGGGTTTCCTCCGTGGTGTGGATTTAGACTAAATCTAACTACTTCAGATTCACCCACATTTAATTGAAAAAACAGCGACAGAATATAAACTAGTGTTATGAACTGGGCCGGCCCCTCTGCCCGCCCCCACAGCTCCTGTCCGGTCCCTGCCTCTGGCACTCCTGGGGCCCCCAGGTGTGAAGCTGAGTGGGGCCGGGGGTACCCGCTGTGCACCGCAGAAGGCAGCTCTGTCGCCTGCCCCTCCTTTGGATCCTCCAGCCCATGCCTGGGGCTGGCACAGCCGGAGCTGCACGCTCACGCCCAGGCTACCCCCAGCAGTGCTGGCGGGGATACCGGCCCAGGCCCACAGGAGCCATCGGCATGACACGTTCAAGGCTGAGGGCAGAATGTGGTCAGCCTTCCCACATCAAGAAGTGAATCCGTGGCAATAAAACTACCAGGGCCTCTGCCTGCCCTGGGTGAGGCTGTGACAGAGCCTCCAGCTTCCAAGCACCCTCATCTCCACCAGGGCACACGTGGCCTGAGAGGAAGGGGGCGGCCGACATGCTGCGGAGGAACTTGGAGTCAGCAGATGAGGGTGCTAGCAGACCTGCAGCTGCACGAGAATCAGAGGTCAGCACACCAGCTGTGCACACTTTGCTGGATCAGGACTGTCCAGTAGGGGCAGCTCGTCTCTGTTCTGCTGAGCCTGGGGCCTGAGCTGGAGACACATCTGGAGTAGACACATCTGTCCCAACCAGGGTCAGGCTGGGACAGCCCACAGGCAAGGCTTGGCTGGAACTGCCACACCCAGTGCCTACCTGTGACCCCATGAGGCTTGCTGTACCTGCTGCAGGGCTGTCAGAGCAGGCGTCCCAGCAAACCTGGCAGGGGCTGTGGCCCCCCTGGCTGGACACTATCGTCAATGGACTCAGGACCCCCGGGATCCAGGAGGGAGGGACGGCCAGGCCTGGTGACGAGTGAGCACGGTCTTCGTCTTTGGCCACAGGCTAGAGGGAGCCTCAGCTCTTCTGATGAAAGGAGACTGCTCTGCTCTTTGGGGTGGCACCACATTTGCGTTTTGCTTTTAGCCTTGCTTCAGATCATTCAGAGCCATGTCAGGTTTCAGGGAAAGTACAGATTTCTGCCTTTGAGACGTCACACACCAATCTGTCCCCGATGTGTGACTTTTGCTGAAAGGGTTCCCAAGCCATTTAACACACCTATGCAGAGGCCCAGGGCCACGAAATGCCAGGGACACTACAGGCCAAGGGCCAGTGCCAGCTCCCAGACGCCCCCAGATGATGCCCAGGAGGGGTCCAGGAGATGAGACACCCAGCAGGCCAGGTCAGGGTGGACCTGCACCTATTAGACGGCTGCCTGGGCCCTGGCTGCAGCACCTCTAGGAGGAGACACCACTGTGCTTTCACGATGCTCCCAGGCTGGGCCCACAGCCTGGTCTACCTGAGGGTGGCCGAGAGCCAGGAAGGAGACTGTGGCACCCAGCCACATGCTGAGGCATCCCCAGGTGCCTCCTGTGAGGAGGGACCCCTGCCGGAGGTGAGGAGTCAGCAGAAAGACCATTTAAGGTGGAGGCTGGTGTTGGCAGAACGGAAGTGTATGCGGTGGCGGTGGGGCAGGCCGAGTGAGAGCACAGCTGGGGCTGCAGCTCGGTGGGGGGAAAGGGTTTGAAGCTGTGAGGTCAGTGGCCAGGAGAGGCATGTAGGTCCCTCTACCTGCCTGGCTGGAACCCCTGGAGAGGCAGCATGGGACCACGGTCCAGATTGGGACAGGCCACGTGGTACCCAGGGAAAGGTCCCAGCCGGCTTCAGGTGTCTGAGGCCTTCTTCCAGACCCTCAAGCTCACACTGACCCCAAGAGCTAAGCCTTCCCAGCCAGCAGGCCCCAGTAAACAGGACCATACAAATGGAAGGTTGTTAGAAGCCTGGTTGTGCTAATTTGGCATGACACCCTTAATGGGTCATATCTTCACACACGAGTTGTCTAATCATCTAACTTCTCTTAACGAATTTACCTCTCTTCTTAGAGACGCTGATTCAAACCAACTTGCCTATTTCATACAAAAGCTAAGCGTCTTGTTTTCCTTTACGTCCCTTCAATGCAAACTCTACCGCTCGGCCTCTCGGGGAACTTCAAGGGCAGACTCACCTGGGTCCCAGCCTCCCTGGAGGGCCACAGTCCTGGGTGTGGAATGGAACGTGGCTTTGGGAGGTACCTCTGAAAAAGCTCCACCCTTGATGGTACAGGCAGGCAAGCTGCACCCCGCGCCCTCCAAGGGCTCCCTGAGAAGCACCTTGCTGCAGAGGACACAGCAGCCCTGGACCCAGACCCAAGTGTGTGGCATCACCAGTGTTGAGAACACCTGTGCTTGTGACCCCCCTAAGCAGGGAGGGGAGCCTGGAGGGCACAGGGTGGCAGCCCCCCCACCTGCCAGCCACGGCTCCTGTAGCTGCAGGAATCACACCCACAAACCTCAAATCCAAGGAGCCCACCCTTTCTGTTCCTGAGCAGGGCTGCTAATGGCACAGGGGTAGGGGTCAGGACCTGCCCTTTGTGTCCTTAGGGCAGGCCTGTGTGCTAGGGCCTCCCCACACAGGAACCAAGGGTAGGATGGTGGCCGCTGCCCCAGACCTGGGCACCTGAGTGCCTGCCTGGCAAAGGATAACCAGCAGGACCAGCAGAGAGGGAGCCCACCTCAGGGCAAGCTGCAGGGAGGGCCCCAGACCTGAGACAGAGCCAGAACACCGAAGGAAAAGCCTGCACACGACTTCTGAGTCTCGTGGCTATGATCACGTGCAGGAAAAGCACCATTTGAAACCAAAGCAGCAGTGACACAAGACCTGCCCCTGAGGGCATGGCCCCAAGGAGTCACATCCTGAGTGGGGGACCGTCCGCCCAGGCACCCCCAATGGGGCCCACTGCTCACCATACTCAGGCCGCAGGTGGTCAGGGATGCGGGGCTCATACCCCTCCTTCTCAGGCACCTCCACGAAGTCCTCATCGTCCTCGTCGTCCTCCGCATCCCCCAGGGCTTCTGTCTGTGGAACAACGCCCCCGTACAAATCAACCCCCAGACCCTGTGTATGAACACAGCTCTCAGAAGGCAGAGCCCCCGGGAGTCCTATTTGCTGTGGAGTTTTTTCTCCTGGTCAGGACTCCCGCGTCGGCCACAGCTGGACTGCATTTAAGGTCGTCTCCAAGGCTGCTCCTGCTCCCCCAGATTACATCCCCTCTGCACTGCCGTGGACTGGGGGCTGCTTAGAGTCTATATCGAAACCGCCAACCTTAACCCTCCCTGGCTGACTCCCCAGGTCGCTGTGGGAGCTGCTGTCCTTGAACGGCCCCTGGGCCTATGGAAGTCATCCTCCTGCCAGGTGGAGCAGGTGCGTCTGCTCTGAGGCAAAAGGCCAGGGCCAGCTCCCCACACAGGGTTCTCCCGTGGTGCTAGTGTGACCACAGCATGTCAGACAACAGGAAGGGACAGGTACTTCTGGAACATTCTGTCCTTGAGGACTTGTTATAAAAACCACCTCAATTTCCTTTTAACAAGGTCACTTCTCTGCCAGGGTTGCTGTGGGGGGATCCCTCACTGAATCTGAGAGCCCTCGTGTCACCCCCGCCTCCTCCTCCCATGGAGGAGCTAGAGAGCGGAAGGAAGGCTTGCTTTCTTTTTCCCCTGAGAAAAGCCAGTTCCCTGAGCGCACCCTGCCCCTTCTTGCACCCGACTCGGCGGGCAGAGGCAGGGACTCATCTCATCAAGCCAGAGAGAGACGGTGGCCCCTCCACACAGCAAGGCTGTGGCATAAGAGACCATGGCCTCAGCTGTAACGGACCCCCTCTGTTGGAAGCAGAACGCCAAGCTGCCTTGTGGCCACAACAGGGCCAAGACAAATTGGGGAGGCGCTGCCAACCTGCCGCCTGCCCTGTGATAATGTTTTTCTATTCCCAAAGGCTGGTACCGTAGTGCTGCCTTCCGTGTGCGCTGGGTAGCGAGCCCACTGCTCAGTAACACAGCCACGCGGTGGGCGCTGCCTGCTCTGCCCACATGCCTCACCTTCTCACGGGCCCCACCAAGCGCAAGACGGGGTGTGGGAGCTGGCAAGCAAACCCCAGGCCATACCATCCCTCCCTGAGAGTCCTGCCTACAGCTCACCCACCACAAACACCCCTCCATGGGGGCTGGCTCCCAGAGCCAGGCCCCCCAGGAACAGTTTATAAAGGGGAAACTCTATTGCACGGCAGGCGGCGGGTTGGCAGGCACCTCCCCAATTTCTCTTGGCTGTTATGGCCACAAGGCAGTTTTGCGTTCTGCTACCAACAGAGGGGGGTGCTGTGTGGACTCAGAACAGCAGGATGGTCCTTCCTCGCCTTCAGCTCCCTCATGCCAGGAGAAAAGCTAGCAGGGCTACTAGGGCAGCTGAAGGTCATGCCTCCAGTGTGGCCAGGGTAGAAATGCCCCCAGGTGGAGATGTCCCTAGGTGGTGGAGGTGTCGCTGGGTGGTGGGGTGGAGGTGTCCCTGGGTGAAGATATCCCTGGGTAGTGGAGGCAGAGGTGCCCCCGGGGAGAGGTGTCCCGGGGTAGTGGGGGTGGGAGTGTCCCTGGGTGAAGATGTCCCTGGGTGGTGGGGGTGGAGATGCCTCTGGGTTGGAGGTGTCGCTGGGTGGAAGTGTCCCTGGGGGTGGAGGTGCCCCCAGGGTGGAGGCGCCTACGATCCCACAGCCCCACAGCACAGCTGAGGGAAATGTCCTTGGAAGGGAGATCCCTGTCGGAGGAATACCAAGCAGGGGGACCTTTAAAGGGTTTATAAGAGGAAAGCTGGGAAATGGAATCACTCTGACACACACTGTCATTTCTAAAGAGCATTCCCAGCAGCAACTCCTCAAAGCACCCACAATCCCAGCTTTGTTTCCTGAAGGGAGGAAAGACAACTGAAGAGCCTGATCCTCAGGGCAAGAGCCCACATGTTCACCAGAAATCAAGCCCGAGTTAAGCAGGGGACCACAGCTCCACAGCCAGCCCCCACGGAGCCAGCCCCCACTGAAAGAGACCCCACGGAGTCAGCCCCCATGGAGCCAGGCCACATGAAGCCAGCCCCCACAGAGCCAGCCCCCACGGAGCCAGGCCACACGGAGCCAGCCACATGGAACCAGGCCACATGAAGCCAGCCCCCACAGAGCCAGCCCCCATGAAGCCAGCCCCCACAGAGCCAGCCCCCACGGAGCCAGGCCACACGGAGCCAGCCACATGGAGCCAGCCACATGGAGCCAGGCCACATGAAGCCAGCCCCCATGAAGCCAGCCCCCACAGAGCCAGCCCCCACGGAGCCAGGCCACACGGAGCCAGCCACATGGAACCAGGCCACATGAAGCCAGCCCCCACAGAGCCAGCCCCCATGAAGCCAGCCCCCACAGAGCCAGCCCCCACGGAGCCAGGCCACACGGAGCCAGCCACATGGAACCAGGCCACATGAAGCCAGCCCCCACAGAGCCAGCCCCCATGAAGCCAGCCCCCACGGAGCCAGGCCACACGGAGCCAGCCACATGGAGCCAGGCCACATGGAGCCAGCTCCCACAGAGCCAGGCCACAGAGAGCCAGCCCCCACGGAGCCAGGCCACATGCAATCAAGCCACATGGAGCCAGTCAAGACCTCATGGAGCAAGGCCACATGGAGCCAGCCCCCACGGAGCCAGGCCACATGAGGCAGGCCACACGAAGCCAGCCCCCCATGGAGCCAGGCCACACGGAACCAGCCCCCATGGAGCTAGGACACATGGAACCAGGCCACATGGAGCTAGCCCCCATGCAGCCAGGCCACACAAAGCCAGCCCCCAAGGAACAAAGCCCCACGCACCCAGCTCCCGACGGAGCCAGCCCCCCTCAGAGCCAGGCCACATGGAATCAAGCCACATGGAACCAGCCACACAAAGCCAGGCAACAGAGAACCAGGCCCTACCCAGCCAGCCTCCATGGAGCCAGGCCACAGAGAACTAGGCCACATAGAGTCAGGCCCTACAGAACCAGCAGCCTCCAAGGACTCAGGCCCCATGGAGCCAAGCCACAGGAGGCCACAGGGCCCAGGCCCTAGCACCCTGCTGGGAGGTGGCCCCAACACCAGCATGGTCAGACCAAGTGCAGTTTGTTTAGGAGCAGCCCACGGCCATGCATCTGGGAAACACAGGAGACATTAATCACTGGAAACTGTAATTTTTGTTATCAGTCTAACACTGATCAAAAGGGAAGCCTGTCTCCACCGCTGACCTGTGAAACGTCCCAATTATACTCTTTGGAAATGACGGGGCACTTAACTCCCGCGCTGAGCAAATGATGGCGATCCATCACGTCTGAATAACAACAAGCCACGGACCTGAAAATCATTTCCGTACAGAATCTGCCCAGGAATTTATGAAAGGTGGAAAGCAGCCCAAGGTTTCAGGGCATTACGGTTCTCAGCCAGTGCAGCACGTATCAAACACTAAACAGAATTTATGTGTTTTAATTTTCTAAAAGGTAGATGTGGACCGGGTGCTACAATGCATAACATATAGTGCCAGATTTTAAATATGGGGGTCATTTTCAAAAAATATTATGCTTATTGCTCGCACCCTTGAATTTCATCGGGGACTTTTATCAAATTTTCATTTCCTAAAAAATATTTAACTGCTGAGCTAACTATTAGGAACTGTAGCTTCTTTCTCCCCAACTAAAACGGTTCATTTCCGTCATTGAAGTTTGGAGCCCTGGGCTCTCCTTTGTTCTTGAATTCGCGTTGATGAGGCCACTCTGCTCCTGCTGAGTATCTCCCGCTGCCACACTGGCCAGGTCCCGCAGGAGGACCTTCACCTCTCAGGAGGGCCCAGGGCTTTCTCCCGGGCAAGAGCTCACCACAGCCCCTATCCACAATTCAGCTTGAAGCTATTTAGAGGCTGTGGTGACCCTCAAACCACAGCAACTCAGGATTACGGACTTCCCTGCCAATACTAAAGGTAAGGCTGAAGGCTGCCGTTTTCAGGTTTTAATTCACACGAGACAAACTCTCGTGTCTGAAACCCACAAGGCAGTTCCTCTGACATCTGGCACCGGCATGCTGAACGTCAGGGACAGGCGGGGATGCTGAAGGTGGGGAGCTGTGAGCCCAGGATGCTGTGTGGCTGTTCACAGGCCTGTTTAGAGGATAGAACAGGGTGGTCACCGGGGACAGAGCTCCCCGAGGTCTTGCGCGCGGAGAGCCCAGAGAGTGAGGCCCCACACTAAGCGTCTCTTCCATGTGTTCCCACACGCCTCCAGGTCACCTCTGAGAAGTCACATCACCAAGTGATGACAGGCAGTGGCCACCCGCCCTCAAGCTCAGGGACAGATGAGCCAGAGGCCAGCACCGTGTGTCTGCATGCCCTGCTGAGGGGCTGCGCACCGGCACTGGGGGCTCTGGATGAGTGGGAATCCTGAAACGGAGCTCACACACCCTATGGCAGCGCTGGGACTGGAGATGTCACACAATGAGGTTAAGTTTGCAAAAGGCTCTCAAGAGCAGTCTGCTTTTATCCCGACCTGGAGGCTGAGTTTCCTGTGATGAAGCAGGGGCGTGGGAGGGGCAGGTCACCTGCAGGCCGCCCACTCAAGGGCGCTGTGACCTGTGCCACACCTTTCCTAATAGAGGAAGTCCCCTGCAGGGCCGTGGAAGCCTCCCGAGGCAGATCTGCAGTGTGGGAGCTACAGACCCCTCAACACGGAGCAACAAGCCCAGCCGTGCACATGGTGCCTCCAACCAAACCCGGCTCTGCGGGGAGGCATGCAGGACACTTTCATACAGACGGATTCTCACCCACACTTAAAAGGATTTAGAAAAATGAGCCTCCATCATCATAATTAAACAAGCAATAAAATGGCTAAAATATACAATGCAATCAGTTCCCAGAAGTAGGGTGGCGAGGTTACTAATTATTTGAGAAGGAAGGGAAGAGGCCCGTGTGAAGGGGCAGGTCCGCCCGCCACACGCAGGCTGGGAGATACAGCTGGGGCCGTTAAATAAATTTGGTACGA